ATGGATTATTTCACTATATTTCAAACTTTGCTTCTGCTTTTGGTTCCTTGATTATTAATAATGTAAAGATTGTTTAAAAATTGGTTAATATTATTCTAACGTTGGCTTGCCTAGCAAGTGAAATATTAAGTGTCATCACGGTCCGAAGGTGGGAATTTCGGGTCGTAACAGAAATATCTCGAATGGTTAGCCAATGTAGTTGTAGTCCCTAAAAGGGGGAACAAACTTATAATGTGTGTAGATTATAAAGATTTAAATAGAGCATGCCCCAAAGATTCTTTTCCACTGCCTAGCATCGATCGCATGATCGATGCCACAGCCGGCCACGAAATCCTTACTTTTCTCGACGCCTATTCCGGGTACAATCAAATTCGAATGAACCCGGAGGACCAAGAAAAAACTTCATTTATCACTAAGTATGGATCCTATTGTTATAGTGTAATGCCATTCAGGCTAAAAATCGCAGGAGCTACTTATCAACGCCTAGTGAATAAAATGTTCAAAGAACAAATAGGTAAGTCGATGGAAGTTTACATTGATGACATGCTAGTTAAATCCCTGTGCGCAGAGGACTATTTGACTCATTTGCAGGAAACGTTCAAAATTTAAAGGAAATACAACATGAAACTCAATCCCAAGAAATGTGCTTTTGGGGTTGGGTCGGGCAAGTTCCTTGGCTTCATGGTATCGAATCGGGGGATCGAGATCAACCCCGACAAAATCAAGGCCATCGAAGACATCACCGTCGTGGACAGTGTGAAAGTAGTGCAAAGGCTGACCGGACGGATAGTTGTCTTAGGCTGATTTATTTCAAGGTCGGCAGATCGAAGCCACAAGTTTTTCTCTCTACTCAAGAAGAAGAACGATTTCGCTTGGACCCTAGAATTCCAACAGGAACTAGAACAATTGAAGCGGTACCTATCGAGCCCACCACTGCTTCACACTCTGAAGACAGATGAGAAGATTTACTTATACTTGGCGGTGTCGGAAATCACGGTAAGTGGCATCCTAGTTCGAGAAGAGCAAAGTACACAATTTGCTGTTTATTATGTAAGTCGGACCTTAGATGAGGCAGAGACTAGATACCCACACTTAGAGAAATTGGCACTCGCACTAATAAGCGCCTCTAGAAAGTTAAGACCATGCTTTCAAAGTCACCCCATATGCGTTTTAACCACTTACCCACTTCGTAATATTTTGCACAAACCCGAACTATCGGGCCGATTGGCCAAATAGGCCATCGAACTCAGTGGGTACGATATCGAATATCAACCTCGTACGGCCATCAAGTCCCAAATTTTAGCTAACTTCGTGGCTGATTTCATGCCAACCCTTGTACCCGAAGTTGAAAAAGAACTCTCATTAAAATCGGATACGTCGTCAGGGGTTTGGACCCTCTACACAGATGGTGCTTCAAATGTGAAGGGGTCCGGGCTTGGAATCGTATTGAAACCTCCCACAGGTGGCATTATTAGGCACTCCATCAAAACCACTAGATTTACTAACAATGAGGCCGAATACGAGGCCGTGATTGTAGGTCTCGATCTAGGTAAAAGCTTGGGAGCAGAAGTCATTGAAGCCAAATGTGACACTTTACTAGTGGTGAACCAAGTAAACAAAACTTTCGAGGTTCGAGAAGATAGGATGCAAAGGTATTTGGACAAATTATAGGTAACTCTGCACCGTTTCAAAGAATGGACCCTACAACATGTGCCTCGAGAGCAGAACAGTGAGGTCGACGCACTCGCAAATCTAGGATCATCGGTCGAGGAAGATAAGATTGACTCGGGGACTGTCGTTCAACTCTCGAGATCTATAATCGAGGAGGGACATGCCGAGATGAATTCCACGAGCTTAACCTAGGATTGGAGGAGTAAGTATATTAAATACTTAAAGAACGGAAAACTCCCATCGAACTCTAAAGAATCGAGGGTTCTATGAACCAAGGCTGCTCGATTCACATTAGTTGAAGATAGAACATTATACAGAAGGACGTTCGATGGACCACTGGCAGTATGCTTGGGGCCAGGTTACACCGATTATGTTTTACGAGAGGTCCACGAGGGCACTTGTGGAAACCACTCCGGCATGGAACCACTAATTCGCAAAATCATCAGAGTAGGATACTACTGGGATAGCATGGAAAAGGACACTAAGGAGTTTGTTCGAAAATGTGATAAATGTCAAAGGTTTGCACCAATGATCCATCAACCCGGAGAGCAGCTTCATTCAGTCATTTCCCCATGGCCATTCATAAAATGGGGAATGGATATCGTCGGCCCTCCACCATCGGCCCCAGGTAAAGCTAAATTCATTTTATTTATGACTGATTATTTCTCTAAATGGGTTGAAGCACAGGTGTTTGAGAATGTGAGAGAGAAAGAGGTTATAGATTTCATCTGGGATCACATCGTGTGTCGATTTGGGATACCAGCAGAAATAACATGCGACAATGGTAAACAATTTATCGGTGGTAAAGTGACAAAATTCCTCGAAGACCATAAAATAAAAAGGATACCGTCAACACCATATCATCCTAGTAGGAACGAACATGCCGAATCAACGAACAAGACTATCATCCAAAACATGAAGAAAAGATTGAACGAAGCTAAAGGAAAGTGGAGAGAAATTTTGCCCGAAGTCCTTTGGGCATATCAGACAACATCTAAATCCAGTACGGGAGCGACTCCGTTTTCCTTAGTGTATGGCTCCGAAGCTTTAATTCCATTCGGAGAACCCAGCGCAAGGTTCCGACATACATCGGAAGAGTCGAACTACAAGGCTATGAATACTAGCCTCGAATTATTAGATGAAAAACGAGAAGCGACACTGGTTCGAATGGCTGCACAAAAACAACGAATCGAAAGGTACTACAATAGAAGAACCAACCTCCGCCATTTCAAGGCCGGGGACTTGGTCCTAAGGAAGGTCACCATAAACATTTGAGATCCTAATAAAGGGAAGCTCGGTCCAAATTGGAAAGGACCCTATCAAGTCCTCGATATAGTCGGGAAAGGGTCTTATAAACTTGGAACAATGGATGGAAAACCATTACCAAACAATTAGAACATATCGCTTCTCAAACGATATTATTGTTAAGGTATGATTTTCTCCTCTCTATCGTCTATATACATATATTCGACACTAACTCATTGCAGGAATTAAACAAAAGACATCAAGACCTCTGGTTTTAAAGCACGCGTTGTACTCTTTTTTCCTTAATTCGGCTTTTATCCCAAATGGGTTTTTCGGCAAGGTTTTTAACGAGGCAACAACTATGTGCTACCTGAGAGCAATTCAATAGTATCCGAGGCTCCTTCATAATCAACCTCGAATACTGGGGGGCTACCATCAAATAAATCAAGTTCGGCACAAGAAAGTTGTTTCATATCAAATTCATGTCGGACAGGGTCTCGATAGAGAAAAGTGTAAGGGCCAAATAGTCAAAACGAACCATGCTCACGTAGTTTTGCTTGAACCCTGGCACAAGATACAAACACATGTATAATGACTTATAAAGGAAAACTTCTTCTTTTCAGATATCTCACACTTTGAAAAGATCTTCCTACTTCATGATTCAAATGGGCTTAAAGTCCAACCACCATCAAAAGAATTTTGATACGAGCTATCAAAAAAGCCTACGGGCCACAAATACTTTGAGTTTGAGTTCGAAGCAATCGCTCACTCAATTATTAAGACTAAGGGCTATCTTACTTTGAGTTCGAGTAATCACTCACTCGATCATAAAAAGCCTACGGGCTACGATACTTTGAGTTCGAGTTCGAAGCAATCACTCACTCAATTATTAAGCCTAAGGGCTATCTTACTTCGAGTTCGAGCAATCACTCACTTGATCATAAAAAGCCTACGGGCTACGATACTTTGAGTTCGAGTTCGAAGCAATCACTCACTTAATTATTGAGCCTAAGGGCTATCTTACTTCGTATTCGAGCAATCACTCACTCGATCATAAAAAGCCTACGGGGTACGATACTTTGAGTTCGAGTTCGAAGCAATCACTCACTCAATTGTTAAGCCTAAGGGCTATCTTACTTCGAGTTCGAACAAATCACTCGACCTTAAAAAGCCTACGGGCTACGGTACTTTGAGTTCGAGTTCGAAGCAATCACTCACTCAATTATTAAGCCTAAGGGCTATCTTACTTCGAGTTCAAGCAATCACTCACTCGATCATAAAAAATCTACGGGCTATGATACTTTGAGTTCGAGTTCGAAGCAATCACTCACTCGATCATAAAAAATCTACGGGCTATGATACTTTGAGTTCGAGTTCGAAGCAATCACTCACTCAATTATTAAGCCTAAGGGATATCTTACTTCGAGTTCGAGCAATCACTCACTCGATCATAATATGCCTATGGGCTACGATACTTTGAGTTCGAGTTCGAAGCAATCACTCACTCAATTATTAAGCCTAAGGGCTATATTACTTCGAGTTCGAACAAATCACTCGACCATAAAAAGCCTACAGTCTATGATACTTTGAGTTTGAGTTCGAAGTAATCACTCACTCAATTATTAAGCCTAAGGGCTATCTTACTTCGAGTTCGAATTCGAAGCAATCACTCACTCAATTATTAAGCCTAAGGGCTATCTTACTTCAAGTTCGAACAAATCACTCGGCCATTAAAAGCCTACGGGCTACGATACTTTGAGTTCGAAGTTCGAAACAATCACTCACTCAATTATTAAGCCTGAGGGCTATCTTACTTTGAGTTTGAACAAATCACTCGACCATAAAAAACCTACAGGCCACAAATACTTTGAGTTTTAGATATCACTCACTCGACTATTAAGACTTAAGGGCTATGCTACTTCGAGTTCAAGCAGATTGCATGAAGCCTAAGGGCTGAACATTTTCATAAAACACAAGTAAACAAAATCCTCAAGAATAGGAACAGAGACAAGCTGGGAAAAAGAAAAGACTTTATATACACAATGATATTTACAAAACGACCAATTAGGGCCTTACAAAGAAACCTAATCATCTACGGGAGCAGTCTTTTCTACATCGTGCTCCTCCTCACTCTGAGACCCGCTTTTGCTCCCGTCATCGTCATCGTCGTCATTATCATCGTCGTCATCATCATCGGAGGCCAAGGCCCCAGCTTCAGCTTCAAGCTCTGTTACCTTTGTTATCTCTTCAGAAAGATCGAAGCCCCGAGCATGGATCTCCTCGAGGGTTTCCCTCCGAGTTTGGCATTTGGCAAATTCGGCGATCCAATGAGCTCGAGTTCGAGCGGTATTGGCAACCTCGCTCGTATGGAACTGAGCGGCTTCGGCATCAGCCCGGTAAATAGCCACCATTGCATCTGTATCGGCCTTTGTTTTTTCTGCCTCGGCAAGTTCAGAGGCCAACCGAGCCTCGATCTCCTCCTTTTCCCTTGCTTGAGCCAAGCTTTTCTCTTTCAGGCTCTGAAGTTGACTTTTGGTCGATGACAACTGGGCCCGAGCAGTCTCTCTCTCTGCAGCAAGGCGGTCCATATTTTCTTTCCATTTTAAGGACTCTACCTTTATCTCATCAACCTCCTCGCGGAGTTTCCCGATCAACTCAAGCTTCTGCTGCAGCTGTGAGACTGAAATATTAGCCATCATTCCAGTATCGAGCCGATAGGCTTTTAATAGTATCATTACCTGCTCGGACAGATCGGTCTGATCTTGGTGAGCTTTAGTCAACTCAGCTCTGAGATCCTTGATTTCCTCCCCTTTTGCCCTAAGATGAGTTTAAGGACATTCCTCTCCTCCGTAACCCATTGGAGATCGACCTCATATCGATGCAGCTCAGCTCGGGATCGAGAACATGCTTCTCGATAAGCTGTCGCAGCCTATGCGGGGAGAAGAAATGAAGTGAAAAAAGAAAAATAGACATGAGAGATAATACCAACAAAATAAATTAAGGTTCACCTGATTCAAAGCTTGCCCCACTCCATGGAAAAAATCTGATGCCTCACTGCTACCGGCAACATCCTCGATGCCGGTAAAAAAACCACAGAAGGGATCATCCCCCTCATGAGGCCTGTGTAGTGCGAGGGCCCCCAAAGCTTGGGCTTCCCGAATCGCCCCTTCAGAAAAAGTAGGAAAGGTGGGCGAGTCTTCGATTGTTGCTGCCCCAGGTGAGTCACTTGGGGCGTTCCCTTCATTTCGAAGAGATTCGGGAACAACCCCTTCAGATATATTCCCAATTTGTTGGCTTCGATTGGAAACATCCTCGATCTGCAACGACTCAGGAACTCTGCCTGAATTCTTCTCCGATATACCCTCGGTTTGAGCCGGAGATGTATAAACCACCATCGATCCACCTGCCTGTGGAGCATCGGTGGTTATCTTTGTTCGGGCTATCAGCACGAACTCCTCATCTTCTTCTTCCTCATCTTCATCTCTTAGGCGTTGAACTGACTCTGAGGTCAAAGGGATGGTATTCTCCTTTGACTTACGAGTCGACCTTGCCTTCGGTTTTGGATTCTCGGAAGCAGAGGCCCTTTTCCTCTTATTTCCCTTCGGCGGTTTGGAAGCTGGGATAAAGGTCTCTTCCTTGCCGGGCAGGGGCCTAAAAACTGCGTCTCTGCGCAGGCTTACACACGAGAAAATCGGTTAAGTATAAGGAGAATGTTTCGTTCGAACTCCCAAAACATGAAAGATAGGCTTACCATGATTTTTCGCCTCCCATCGGCCCTTTGCCAGATCATGCCACGAACGTTCGGCGTAAGAGGAGTTCGAAGCTAGAGCCAGTACCCAGCTCTTAAGGTCGGGAACGGCGCCGGACATCCAAGGAACCACTGTATCACAAAAGGAATATCGGCAAAGAAAAAAAAACAAAGAAACAAGGCACTAGGGAATAAAACAGGAAAGTACACTCACGATTTATATTCCATTCTCCGGGTAACGGCATCTTTTCGGCAGGGATTAGGTCCGAAGTCTTCACTCGAACAAACCTGCCCATCCAACCTCGATCCTTATCCTCGTTTATACTCGAGAACAATACCTTGGTAGCCCGGCGTTGTAGTTTTATAAATCCACCTCGAAAGAGGCGGGGATTATACAGTCTAATAAGATGATCGAGGGTGAAAGGTATCCCCTCGATCATGTTTGTAAAGAAACGGATCAGAATAACGATCTGCCAAAAGGAAGGATGAATCTGGCCTAGATTTATTTGGTATTGCCAACAAAAGTCGACGATAACAGGGTCGAGAGGTCCTAACGTAAATGGGTAGGTATACACACTTAAGAACCCTTCAACATGGGTGGTAATATCGTCGTCAGAAGTCGAAATCACCACTTCCTTATTGCCCCGGTTACAATCTGCCTTCAACTGTTCAAGTTGCTTTTTGGTTATCGAGCATAAATATCTCGATACCGGTTCGCATCGACTGGGAACCAGCGTGCCTTTGTCGAGCTTGAAATCAAAGGTAAGAAGGCATGTTTTGCGAACACACTCCTATGGACGTGGCTCCGCCGGTGTTTTATCGGCGGCGGGCTGCGAAGAAGAGGCCTCTCCTTTTTGAGGAACGGTCTTTGATGTTTTCACCATTTTCCTTGAACTTAGAAGAAAGGAATAAAAAGGGGTATGATGTTTCAAAGGAAGATTTTTGTAGTGAAAAACATAAAAGGAAAATTTCACACAAACAAATTCAGAAAATATGGGAAGATGCTTAGAAAATTTTGATTAGAGAATGTAAAGGTGATTAATGGTAGAAAAATGGGATATTTATAGGTTAAGCGGTGACGGTTCAATCTCGGTAATTGCTTACCATCGCCTGACAAGCATTAAATGCCTCGGTAAACGGGATCGATGGGACCGCTATCACATACGTCACGATCGAACTCGATGCAGACGTCAGTGTACGTCTAACCATACTGGTGGAAAATCATATCGTTTCTCGTTATATCATTTCCGAGAAATGATGGGACTATCTGTGTACGGTCAAAACCTATTAAGTCAGTCGTACGGATTGGTCGAGATGATAATATTTCGATCAAAGGGTATCCGCATGACGACAGGTCGAGGTCCGAAGTAAGGGCGTCAAGCTTCGAGCTCTAAGATCAATCAATGACAAGTTCGGTATCATTATCGAGCTTATATCCAAATCAAACTACGATGCAAAGCGAAGATTATCGGAGATGCATAGACCGACCAACACTCACCCCGAATATCGAGACTCCAAGTCAGAATCGAGCTCGAACCGAGGCCGAGGGCTCGATCCAGTACCGAGTTAGAGCCAGTATCGAGCTCACAGATAAGAGCCGTTGCAACCGTACTAGGGGAGAGAATCTTGGCGGGAATCGAGGAAAAGATAATTCATCATGGGTTCTCCACTATATATTTTTTATTATAGATAAAGTAGGATCCCTCTACTATAAAGAGGGGAATCCTTGTAAGCATAGCAGAGACACATTGTAACAAAGATAACATTAGAGAGATTAACACTTTTTGGGCTCATTTACTTTGCTTTGTTCATCAACATTTTTTTTTCTCTGCTTTATATTTCATTCCATTTGTTAAGAATATATATATTTCTATTTCACTCTACAATTTGTATCAAGTTACATCACGTATCCTTAGAACCATACACAAATTTAACTCTATCCAATTTTTCGGATAAACAATGTATTTGTGAATAACTTGGAATTTGTGGCCAAATACTACTAAAAATGACACTACGATATTTTTTGGTGGGAAAACTTGATAATCAAAGTTCCGCTACCAAGTTTGTGTTTTTATCGTTAATACGTATGTAAATGTTACTCATGAATACAAGTACTAAACGCAAACCTTGTCAAAGAAAATGAATAATCCATGAGAAATACAAGGTCCTAAACAATAAATCTATAGCTAAAAGTTGATTTTTTGTACCTTCTGAGACCGCATGTATGAGTTTTTCAGTTATAAAATGTAGGAAATCAACAACTGTCAAATACATAAATATCCAAATGTTGGAACTTCTTGACTTTCGTAAAACAATGGAGAATTTATTATCAGGAAAATAATAGTATTGATCAATAATTATCCTTGAGAAGATAGACTGATAGAGAAATATGAAAGGCTTTTACGCTTTCAGTATGATAAATTTGTGTTTCTCTCCCTTTACCCCTTAACGTTCACGTTATTAATGGAAAAAACGTACTTTTCTTAGTGCCCAACTGCCCATATAAAAATGAAATTACTTAGCCCTTTCCATCAAGTGGATGGCTAATTAGCATAAAGAAAACCACTTCTCCAACTGACAAAGATTTTAGCTAATCTATTAAAATCAACGAAAATGTTAGTTTAAAAGATATGAGTTGACCCGGACAAATCATCAACTGTCATTAATGCTAATATATTAGTTTTGCTTGGGTAAACAGAGAAATTAGTGTAGTGGGCACCCCGTTGGAAGAACTTTAAAGATTTGCAAATAGAATGAAGAGGAGAATAGACTAGAAAGTGGTACAAGCATTGGAATATTAAATAAATCACATGCTTAACGACTACAAAAAAGTAATAAGAAAAAAATCCTAGATGTGGACTTTGAAATAATTTTAATTAGTCGGTAAGGACCTAGTAATAAACAATTTTACATGCCAAACACACCCGAGAAAATGTCTACTTCTGAAAATAACTTTTCTATCCGGATCTTAACTGTGGAAAGAAATTTCTATTAATTGTTGATAAAATGTCAATGGTATATATTGATATTTAAGTACTATATAGTATATACTCCTTTTACTTAGGAAAATGAAACAGAGTTTTAAATCAATTCAAATGTAAATGAAAAAGTTAATGATAAACTAATTTTTCGATTTTCAAGATCTTAATGCAACAGGTTACTTGTAAAAGAATTAACGTACACTGAAAACTAATTAAAAATATTAGCATAAAGATGTATTAAACATCACAAAATTAGTAAAGTAATTAAGTGTAGACTTGTAGTTGAGCTACTAGTATTTTTTCAATCTATAAAATTTTCTCAGCTTCATTCACTTCTTCCCGTCAGTTGCCATTTTCTCGCTACTACTTTCACAAGTAATCATCGGGCTCAAAAGACAAAAGGTCTTGTCTCTCTGTCAGGTTTTTCAATTTTTTATCTTCACAATTTATTTTTCTTTCTTTTTTGTAGAATTATTTTAATTCTTTTAGATTCATAACTCAGGACTTTGATTTTTTGAGTTTTTCTGTTATTTCGTGATAAATATTGTCAATACTGCGTCTGCGTTTTTGTTGGTTGACTTTGAAATGGTTATAGCTTTTCCGGATCTTGCTTTGTTATTCTTTGAGTCTTCTCTTCTTTGTTGATTACTAGTATGATTTTAATATTTTATGTTTTCTTTCTACTAAATGCTTTGAATGATTGGAGATGATGAATTGGTTAAATAGGATTACTTTTTATTTGATTTTTAAAATATCATACAAGGAACTTACATTTTGGAATTGATGTCTAAAATGCCAAACTGATTAAAAGGCCTTTCGTGATGAGAAGCTAAAAGATCGCCACGGATGCGTCAATTTTCGTGGTAATCAGTTCACTACAAATTAAAGACTAGAGTACTATTGGTAACTAATCGTCACACATATTTTCTCGATCAAATTATGTTCTTCGCAGGAAAGAGATATTAGTACATATTCGGGAGATACAAGTATATTAATACTTCATCCAGTCCACTTTAATTGATTTTTTTGGTTGTTTTCACATGTATTAAGAAATTTATCTTTTAACATTAATTAATAATGAAATTGAGCATATTAACCTTAATTTGTTCATTGGTAATATAACAAATACTCCTAGGTTGTTTACTCCAAGGACAAATTTTAAAAAAATAAGTTAATTTCATCTTGATATTTAAAAAAAATTAAATATTGTGGAACATAAAAAAAACCAAAAAATTAATTAAAATGAACCGAAAATATGCATTTTGTCCTTCCACTTTAAGCTATGTGAACCAGCTATTAAATATTCTGGACCAATAAGAACTAAGAACAGTTGGCTGGCAATTGGAATAGATCAAAGAACAAATATTGAAAAAAGAAAAAGAAAAAGAAGCTGTTAAATACCACAAGGCCTTTGGAGAGTTTTCAGTATTTCAACAAGGACTAATTAACTACTGTAGAACACTAACTTATACATGTACAAAACAAAATTGCAACCGAAATAAGTATTATCCAAAAAAGTATTAGAGATTGCACGTATCTCATGGACAATTAAACCCCCCGTATAATTTTATTAAATGCTTAGAAACTCATGATTTTGTGGCTAATTACAAATTTATTTTTAGTTTTATAACCTTTTTTTTTTACACACGAGAAATTTACTTTTACACATAATAGATCTGTCTTTTACACATAAGAGATCTAATAAAGACACTTTCTTAATTTTAACATTGTAAAAAGCCACGTAGGCTTAAAACCTCCTCTATTTTATTAGACAAACAAATGCATGAAGTCATATTAACCAAATTAATTATATAAATTCAAAAAAACCTAACTATAACTCTCTCACTCTCTCTCACACACACACATCTGCTGCTACTCCTCTTCCTTGTTCAGCTGCCTAAATTAACTTTCAGGTGATCAACATGGAAAATCTTGTTTTCATCATCGGAGTTATAGGTATAGCATTATCATCTCAAATCACTCAATGAGAATTGATATTTTTTTTTTGTTGAATTAACATTTGGGATGAAATGCCTAATTTCTCTGTTGAAATATATTTTTCCTATTTTTGCAGGCAACATCATTTCCGTTCTAATGTTTCTTTCGCCAGTGTAAGTAAAAAGACAGAAATATAACTTACAATATTAATTAGTCAAAGTTGTTAATTCTTTCTAGGTTTATGGTCCTGTTTTAATGAACTTTGGAAAATAATGTGCAGAGGAACATTCAGAAGAATTGTAAAGAACCAATCAACTGAGGATTTTGATAGCCTTCCATATATTTGTACACTGCTAAATTCAGCTTTGTGGACTTACTATGGACTTATAAAGCCAGGGAGCTATCTTGTGTCCACTGTCAATGGCTTCGGAGTCATCGTTGAGATTGTCTACGTTGCCTTGTTCCTTCTATTTGCTAATCCAAAAATGAGAGTGAGTCCAAAAAAAAGACTTTATTTTTTCGATACCCAAGTTTATTTTTCTTAATCGGTTTACGTATATAGATTATACATTAATTATATACGGTTAATATATATTATATATGAATTATATATTTATTATATACCCGTCATCAATTTTTAATTTATGTGGTTGGATTGATAGATGTTTATTGTTTAGGTTAATTCTTATTTTTTGGTACACTATCAAGATGCCGAGGTATACATACAGTACACTAAGGAAAATAAATTGTTGCATCATGCATTTGAAATTTATTTGAATGAATTTAAGTTATATGCACTAAATATGTAAATATTATATTAACTAGATGCAAATAGTTTCTAGCGCTGACTAAAGGTGATAATACCCCTTAGTATTTCAATATTTTTCATCAAAATATTTTTATGTAATTACCTAATAAATGACCTTATTGTATAAATAAATAAATATCAGTGTATAAAACTTAATTTTGTTTGAAATAAACTAGCTAACTTGTCAGAACTATTCAACTTATATATTTTTTTCTTCTAAGGTTACATTTTGCTTTGAAAATGACTTACTTGAGTTACTTGCTTTGAGTTTACTTTTGAAGTTTTTTTTTTTTTTTTTGAAGAATTAGCTTTGGAACGCCGTCTGTATGGAAGAGCCGATTTTGAGTATACGCGGAAAACTATGCTAAATTCCTACACTATTTTGAGGATTTCATGAATGTGATTTTTTTTTTTTTTTTTTTTTTTTTTTTT